ATATATGATATGAAACCAAAGGCCATCATCACCATTCATCAACCATATCTAGCCATGCAACACCAAAAACTAGGGTGACATAATCATTGATATATTGTTATACATAATAGATTTGTTTTTTTAAGAAAGGTTTATTAATTATTTTTTTCTTTTATTTTCATTGTATATACAAAGCACCTATATGTAGATCTATATAATATAATATTTTCTGATACAAAACCAATTAACCTAAATGTGTACAATCAATTACAATTTGAACATATTAATTTAGTGTGAAGACTAATATTTTAACATAAATGCTAATGTGAACATACTAATATAGTATGAATGCTAATATTCTAACATGCCCGCAACCTTAAGGTGGTAGTCAAGATACCAAATTGAGTTTGGAAAAAAGATATTGGAAACATCCACAGAAGTAAGCCTTGGTGAACAAATGTGCAAGTTGATCAACAAAACTAGTGAAAATCAAATGAATAGTTCCCTTTGTAACATGATAACGAATAAAGTGACAATCGATCTCAATATGCTTTATGTATTCATGAAATACATCATTGTGAACAATTTGTATAGCACTTTGTGTTGGCTCAATGCACTCCAAGAGAAGGGTGAATTGGAGTTCAAAAATTTTCACCTCTTTGCAACTACCAAACAAAAATTAAAGAGAGAGTAGGGAAGAAGAGCTTGCACAATAATTTTATAGAGGTTCGGTCTAACCACTTGGAGTCTAGTCCTCTACCTTGGCTTCGTTTACCAAGGATTTCCTACATACTCTTCACTAAGAAAAATAAGGGTGACTCAAAGAAGTCACTCAATTCTTTTACAAGAAGAAGAGTATTTCTCTTAAATCTCACCCCTTTATAAGATAAACCCCAAAAATCCTCTTTACAAATCACTCTTGAAGGAATAACCACACCCCTTAAGATAACACACAAGTAGAACAAGAAAAGGATTACAAACAAAGATCAAAAACTCAAATTAAAGCACAAGTTGATAGGTAAAGATATTCAATACAATGCTCAAAAAAACTTATTCCAGATCGACTACCAACCATATTTATAGCCCCTGAGTCGAAAATAGTCATTTTTAGCTGTTGGGGGTCATTAAATGCTTTGCATATTGAGTAAGTTCGAGTCGTAGACTTGTCAGTAGAGCCAGATTTAACTCCAGAGCCAACTTTACAGAGCCAGCTTTGAATTCTAGAGTCGGCTTTGCGGCCTTTCTGCACATTCTATTTTTCTCAAGAGCCAGCTACAAAAACGTAAAACTGACTTTAGAAATCTGACTTTAAAAAGATTAAAGAATCTTGAAATAACTTGACCATCATGCATTAAATGTGCCATCATAGCTGGCTGCAAAGTTAAAGTCGGCTTTGCCTTCGTTTTCCGTGCATGCCAAACTGCAGGTTTACTTTCACCCGTAAAGCCAGTTGCATGTTCCAAAGCTAGCTCTCTATAGTTTTGTTCACCAGAGCCAGTTGTAGTTTTTTAGAGTCGGCTCTCCACACAATTCACAGGCTTTTTGGTTCAGTTTTGTGCAGTCCAAGTTCACTTAATTTTGCAATCTTTTGAAAGTTTAACTACACACTTAGATGAACAAATTAGTTATTTAAATGTATTTTATAATCATCAAAATCATAGGTACAACACTTTGATTATCATAATTAATATAAATTAATAGAAAAAGGTTGAGGGATACCATATCTTCAAAAAGCCATCGTAATGAAAGAAATTCTAATATGGTATCATCAAGAGCTCTACACTCAACTTTAGTACTAGAGCGAGATGGAATAGTTTATTTCTTGCAATGCCAAGAGATAAGAGAATTACTAAGGAAAAGACAATAAAAATGGTTGCTTTGCGATTGTAAGGATCACCAGTCTAATCGACATCAGAGTAGGCACAAATCCAAGTGAGGAGTAAGCAAAAAAATGGAGTTCATGAAACAATGTTCTCCTAGCATAACATATCATGCAGTACTACTGCGTAAGGAGTAGAGCGTGATGGGGTAGTTATAAATTGACTAACAATCTAAACTTCATATGCTATGTCGGGGCTTGTTGTGATAAGATAAATTACACTACCAACTAATTGCCAATAATGATTAGGATCAAAAAGTGGAGAGCCATTCATAAATGTAAATTTAACGTTAGGTTCAAAAGGTATAGAACTACTCTTGCTATCATTGAGTTTAACTTTAAAAACAAGATCAGAGACATATTTTAGTTGAAAAAGAAGGCAGCTATCATTTGAAGAAGTTACTTCAAGCCCTAAAAAGTAACTCAATTAACTAAGATTTTTCATCTCAAATTTCTAACTAAAAGACCATTTTAGCTCATCAATGTTTGGGATATCATCTCCAATATTCTCTGTGACTAATTTTAAGTCGATCTCTCTTGGAAATATGACATATAGACACCAATTCCATTGAGTTTATTTTCCTTATGTTTCTCTTTTCCATTGGCCTGATCTCAGAGTTCAAATATACCGCTACTGCATGTTATAATAATAGAAAAATAGTTTTCAGTTATATCTTTAGATAAATATTAAAAAAATTTAAATTATATTATTTTAATAAATTTAAATGTTAAAAATAAATTATTTTTATTTTTAAAGCACGAATGTAATATTTTTCTCTTTTTTTAATTATACTTTATATAAATTTTATTTTAATTTTTTTAATAATATATTTAAATGAAAGAGAATAAAAAATAAAAAAATTATCTATTAAATTATAATATCTTTAAATATTATAATTTAATTAATTAAAAAATTCCCTCATTCTTCTCTTTTCGAATCAAATATATTATAAAATTTTTTAAATCCAACTAATAAGTACTCTAGTCAACAAAACCAAAAATTAATTAATTAACTAATTTGAAGTCTATCCATGTACAATAAGTCCAACAACAGCAAGTCATTATATAAAGTAAGGCTGCAAAGCTGGCAAATAACACTGGCAAATTAACACTCTTACCAAATCATGCAGATATACCAACGAATGATCTTTAAAATATGATCCTGAACGGCTTAAGAATTAAGCAACAAACAGAAGAAAGCCACGTACAGTACATATTAAAGTACCTGCACAATGCAGAAACTAGCTAGCCAAAAACATAATCCAAAAAGTAATTAATGGGGTTAAACTTAATTCATACTTCTTTTTTTATTGATAAAGATAATAATTAATAAGTTAATTTTATTAATTATTAATAATTAAAAATTCAATTCTCAAATTTAATGAGTATCTCACTTTTTTCGATGAGACGCACAACCCAACGGATCGTTGGGTGGAGTTCAACTTAATTCATACTTGATCAGAATATATAAAGGGGTAGCTAGGCTTGAGATAGGTTAGTCCCGAAAGGAACAAAACAAAATAAGTACAGTAATTAAGAAATAAATATTCAAAAAGTCCAATTAGTTTATGACGTTTTGTGCTGCTCCAATCCAATTAGCACAATTTCCACGGACAAGTAGTAGTAATTAATTAATATTTATGCCATCAATGATAAATAGTGACTTTGAAAGTTGAAACAATTCAATGAATGAATGCCAAATATATCTGAACTATTAATTTGGTTATTTAACTTGTCGAGGTTTTCTTTGACTGTATGTAGGAATATAGCATATAATAAGGATTTTTTTTTCATTTAGTATAGAGTTAATGATGTGATTATTGTATTTTTTTAATATTAATTAATATTCTAAAAAAATAGAATTTGATTATAAGTAGGATATTTCTTTTTGATTATAGTCATTATAATTAAGTAGAAATAGAATTTGAGCGTCAGAGGGGCAGGCAAGACAGGGCATGGACCATGCCTGATATTTTCAACCAATGAGGAATGCAAATACAATGTCAATACAAGTCGAATGGCTGATTTGTCATTTTATATCCAAGCTCAAACCTTGTAAAATGCAACTTTTCTTTTTAATAAATACTTTTCCTTTTGCTTTTTTTTTTTTAATATTTATTTGTAGTTACTATAAAAGTTAAAGAAATAGACATTCTAAGCTCCTAGCTAGAATTTTAAATTTGATAAGATTTGTTTATCCTATACCTTAAGAGTATATGATAAAAAGTAATAATTGCATAATAATTTTGATATTTTTTAAAAAAATGAAATTTTAAATTAAAAAAAATAATTTTTACTTTATAATTTAAAACAAACCAATAAAAAATTAGACACATGGCATCTATGATTAAAATAAAAATTAACTTCATCATTTTTAAAATATAAAGTAATAATTATTAGCTAATAATTACTTTTTATCATCAGCCCTAAAAACCTAGAATAGATAAATTCATTCAATAATTGAATTTTTCTAATCCGTATTTAGTATAAATTAAAAGTGTATTATTATATTTTTTATATTAATTAACATGAAAAATATTAAAATATGATAGTAATTTTAACAACGGATTAATTAAACTCATCATATTGGTAAAGATATTAAAATTAATATTATTTTTTATTTTTTTAATATAAATGTAATACCAAAAATTACAATAAATGCACATTTAAGATACATATTAGAAAAACTTTTCATAATATATAGAGATTTTTTTATTTGTATCTTTAAAAGTATAATTTCTTTTTCCTTTTTTGAATATTGGGGAATTGATTTTGGGAAGTGAAAGTAAGTCCTCGCTTCTAACTCAGGACGTGATGTCCTAGTTCACGTATTTAAGTGAGTGATCATTATGAGTTGAACCTTTAAAAGTATAATTAATACACTTTTTAATCTTTAATTTATATAAAAAAAAAATAAAAAAAGTGGATATTAATTGTAGTCCCATTGCCACTTTGATATATGGTTTATTTTAAAAGTGGTGCTATAATCACAACTTTTTTATTTCATTTTTTTATATAACTTTCACATGTTATTAAATGAGTTGATGTATTCAATATTATGGACCACACATAAATTAAAAGAAGAACCAATCATTTTAATAACATATCAAGTTGTACAAAAATATAAAACAAAAAAAGTTATATAAAGACCATTTCCCTTATTTTAATCCACATATCATTTGTCCTAAAATTAATTTTTATATATTTTATATATAACTTAAAAATACATTTATTATATAATTATCATATGCTCTCTTTAAGACATATAATGAAAAATGCCATACAATAATATACATTAACTTAGTTAAAAGGAAAATCAAATTTCTTAATATTAAAAAATATCAAAATATTTAATAATAATTATATAATAATTTTTATAAAATTTAAAGTTAAATTATACCTTAATGGATGTGATTGAAAGAGACAAAATAAGAATGAATAGACAAAACTGAGACCATTGAGGACTAATAAATTGAGTAAATTATTGAACAGAAAGTCAAGTCTGTGCTCGCCTTTGCCTTGCCTTGCCCTGCCATGCCTTGCCATGCCTTGCCTTGCATGCTTATTCCATATATACCAAAACAGACAAAATTTAAAATGTCTCTCCACACCGCCATTGATATTAGAGAGAGAGCGGATTACTCTAGATTAATTACTCATGGCCATGGCGGCAACTGGAGTTTGCGCATATGCCACCGGTTACTCGCCGGTGTCCCGCCGGAACCTGGAGATGACATCGTTTAGACCAATATTAATGAAGCAAAGCCGGACTCGGGCATTCGCTGCATCCTCGTTGTCGGAACAGGCATCAACGGTAACGAAACCCAAGTCAACAACGTCAACGCTTCCTCAGAACAGTGGAAAATTTCAGGAACAAGAAGCGACGAAAAATGTTTATGCCAATATGGACGAATTACCGGAGGAAGACGAAGGTAGGAAGACGCTCAAGGATTTCTTTGAGGCCTGCAAAGAGTTTATCGGATCCGACGGCGGTCCGCCTCGCTGGTTCTCTCCCTTGGAGTGCGGCTGCAGGGCACCGGATTCTCCCCTGCTTCTCTTTTTGCCTGGTCTGTTTTGTCTTCTCTCTTCTCACTACCATTTTTTTTTTCTTTTTTGTCTCTGTCATTTTAATATATCCTTTATATATCTAATCCTCCGTCAATGAAAATCAAAGGATTCAAACCTCTTTCTGCAAACTGGAATTAATAATTTTCTTGTGTAGCAAATGGAGCTGGCTTTGAATTCATAACATATGAAAATGAGTTTTGATTCTCAGGAATTGATGGCACTGGACTTGGGCTTCTAATGCATCACCAGAAATTATATTTGTAATAAAAAAATCATATATTTCGAAAAGAAAGTTGAACATTTTTTTAGTATAATATAATCAATAATGATAAGTCGTCTCTTGAATCGAATCCACAAATAACAGAAATAAATAATAAAGAAAAATCAATAAAAATATACATAAATAAATTAAATATCAACTTTTTATATTATTTATCTATATTATTATTTTATAATAAGTATATTAAGTGTTAAGATCAATATTATATTAATTGAATCTATTTTATATATAGTATTCTGATATATGTATATATATATTTCTGATTTTCTATGTTTCTATTCTATTTTTTTTCCATTATATTCTATATTCTTCCAATCAATTCCATTCTAAAGAGTTGTAAACATTATAAATCAACAAAAGAAAAAGTAAGTGGATCTAACCCATTGAATTGGAA